TTTAACAATTCGTTGTATGTCTAAACGGGAAAATGGGAAACCCCATTTTCCAGCTTGTATTATTTTTTCTACAATTATATTTTCATCTTTTTGAGTGAGTGCTGTTGGATGGCCGGGATCATTCATATTTTTCTGTTTAACTTTTCTGGCAATAGTTGATTTGGGGATGGAAAACTTCTCAGACGCATTTCTTATGGACAATTTTCCACTTTTCACTTCATCTATGGCTTTTTCCAACTGTTCATTGGAAAAGTTGCGGTAAGTCCTTGCTCCTACCTTTCTCCTTTTTGTATTATGAGAGCCAGGCATAGTGGCTAAAGCCTTAATGAAAGGAATGATTAATATATTAATCGGATCATATAGATAATACACGAGTTACAACTTGGGACATAAGGTGTGACATCTTGGGACGCTGTCCCATGTTGTAACCTATTGATCGCGATTAATTAAAAGTGAAAATTAACAAACTATCAAATTTAATAAAACAGTAAACTTGTGATTAACAGTAGCGCAAAACTTGAGATAATAAACATACTTACCCAAACAACAAATACCACAAATCGTTATCTAAATATAACCAAAGTTGTAATGACGTATTTTTTTTAGCTATTTAAATTAGAATCAAAAACAGGTAATTAACAATAAACCACCCGAAGTATAAACGTAAATAACGCGGTTTGCAAAAGCTGATACGTTGTAACGTAAAATCAGTTGCCAGTGAAACAGCTGATCTAAAAACCAAGGTGAGGAGTACTCCACTTCCGCAAATGCGCATGTTTGTCCCAAGTTGCCAGGGTGTCCCAAGTTGTCAGAGTTTACGGTACGCAATAATACCAACGTTGACATCCAACACAGTGGTCATAGTCGTAACAAGTGTGATACTTAGAGATTAACTAATATTCTTCGAGGTAAAATCAATTATAAGGCATAGCAACCACTAAAATCTTCTTCATCCACTTTTACTGTAATTCATCAAAATATCCAGTGCATTAGAAATGTATTTACTGTATACAATCATGTAAAGTGTAAACAGGGTGATGTACTAATTCTTGGTAAACACACTTTTGTTATGTGTGCTTTAGAAAAAAATTGTAAATCAAAGTATAGATACATTTTTAAGATTGCGGCTATTAGGCTAAATTTGCAAAAACTTTGGGGGTAGGCTTCTATGTGACGCAAGGGGTTGCAAAAAATTATTTTTTCATTTGTTTATTGGATATGGATAGCAGTAT